AACACACACACACACACACACACACACACACACAAGATGGGGAATAATACGTCAACAGTGGGTGTTTCTCAGAGGTATACTGTGGGTAATTTTTATTTTATTTTAGTTTACCAGTATTTCCTGGATTTTCCTACAGTGAACTTTATTTTTTAGTAAAAAAAAAAATGTAAAATTTACCGAAGTTGCCAGAAGCATTCAAAGAAAATCAAAGACTGAAGGAAATGAGCCTCTTGGGTCTGGGCTGAGTGGGCGAGGGCAGGTCCAGGGACACTCGGTCCCCTCCTGGGGGAGTGTGTTCATTCCGCCCCTCCCCTTGCAGCTGGGAGAAGAGCTGAAGCAGCTGGTGCCGGCGAGTGGCCTCACGGTCGTGGATCTGGAGGTCGAGGGCACGTGCCTGCGGTTCAGCCCTCTGATGACAGCGGCAGGTAAGCTGTCTCCATGGTTGCCCTTAACTTTGTTCTGAGACACCAGTGACCTGTCTGTCACAGTCCAGGCTGTGGGGCTGGTCACTTTCCCTTGTGACGCTCTGCTCTCTCCCGAGAGGCTTTTCCTTTTCCCTTGGGCCAAGGTCAGGTCGAATAGCATTCCAGTGCGACTTCTCTGAAAGACTTCTGAGATCACCTGAATTCCTGCATTTCACATCTGGTGACCCTTCGTCTTCTGTTCAGTGGTTCTCAGTCCGGACTGCACATTAGAAGCCCTTGTGGAGCTTTGAAACCTCCCAGTGCCTGGGCCCCACCTGCAGGGATTCTGGCTTACTGAGTCTGCATGGAATGGGGCCCCGGCATCAAGTAGGCAGTGAAGGTGGAGAGCGGCCGCTGTGGACGTTTCAGAGAGCAGCATAGCTGAAGGTACGTGGACTTTGATGACAAAGTCCTGAGGGTCCTTGTCCCTCCCAGCCATTTCATACCTAAGGAGCCTGGAGCAAGTTTCTTCTCTGCAGACCTGTCCCCACCAGCTCACGGCAGTGACATGAAGGTTCAGCTCAGACCACGTGTGTGAAAATGCTTGGCATGTCACCAAGGAGGCGCCTAAAAATCAGCTGAAAAGAGATGCATTAAAAATTTGATATTGCTTTTTTCTGAGATGATTTAAACATGTTCAGAAAATGTTTGATGGCTTTTCATGAGGCGTTTTCAGCATTTTTGGAAAGATTCTTTCTCAAAGGCATCAAAGTAGAGAAGTGCAGGCAACTGTCCTGCAAAGAAGAGCCCTCGTGAAGATGGCCGGTGGCCCCCGGACCTTCCAGGGGTCTCTGCTCCTGCTGTGCAGGGGGCCCAGCCCCACAGGCTCGGCCTCTAAAATTGGAAAAGCTGGCTGTGGACACCCCAGGCAGCACGTAGTGAGGCCTAGTGAGACCGCAGACAGCGTTGGAATGAACAGAAGTGATGGCGCAGTCCTGTGGTCAAGACTCAGAGCCCTGAACCCTGAGGCCGCTCCGGCTCCGACCTTCAGAGCCAACTTGGTCCTGTCGTCATCACCACGCTGCCCATCCTGCCGCCCCAGCCCCCTAAAACCCCTCTTTTTCTCCATGACGTTACTGTAGAGTGAGGACTGTGCGGTTGCCTCTGTTTCTAACCTGTGATACGATGTTTATAACTTAAGCAGAGTCTTTCTATGAAAAGAATCTGATTTCTACGTAGAGTTTTATTATGTATTAAATCAGAGGGGCTAATTCTGTCTTCTGTGTAAGAAAAAATTGTGTCTACACCTGAGCAGCCAGCTGTATGAATTTTTAACACCTGATTCTTCATTATCTGGGTTTAGTGACTTTTTTTTTTTTCACTCCTCCGCTCCAGCTAATTGGATGTACCCAGGGCTGTTGACTTTCTGACAGTGCAAGTAGGCACACTGCCTTCTCGTTTTCAGCCATTCCTTAAGCATTTCCCTAACGTCCTGTGAACGTTTTCAGTTTTAGGAACTCGGGGAGAGGATGTGGATCAGCTCGTAGCCTGCATCCAGAGCAAGCTGCCGGTCCTGACGTGCACATTCCAGCTGCGAGAGGAGTTCAAGCAGGAGGTGATGGCAACGGCAGGTCTCTTATACGTCGATGACCCTAACTGGCCTGGAATAGGGGTTGTCAGGTACAGTAGGAAGACCATGGGTGGGTCATTTCGTGAAGCAGCTAAAAATGTAGGATGAATATGTGTAGTCACAGTGCGTGTTTGATGAAAGTTCACCTGGATGTTCTGGGCATTTCCAAGAGCCCAGAGCAGCAGCACAGCGGCCCGGCGTGTACGCAGTGAAGTCCGAGTCGCTGTGTGTTCTTTCTGTGCGAACGTGGAAGTTACTAGGAGGACTGCACAGGGTGTCCCGCTGCCACGTGGTGGCGCTCCACGTGTGCGGGGCACTGCAGGTCACTAAGAACCCGGTTCGCGGTGGGAGCAAACTCTCCGCCCTGACTCCGTGCGAGCTCCCTCCTGCGGTGCTTTCCGCACCCTCAGGGTGCAGAAAGTCTCCCGTTCCTCCTGCAAATGGCAGGACCCCCGACGTGGCCTCTGCGTTCGCATTACGTGGGCCTGGGGGCTTGGGCTTTCGTTAGGATACCCTTGAAAGGTTTTGGTCTCCAGACCCTCGAGCGGCGCCTCTGCCCCTTGGTCTCAGTGCACGCTCTGGTACCCTCCAGCAGCTTCTACTCCTGTCGTCCCGGGTCTGAAGAGACATTTGATCTTTTAGATTGAAGTCCTGTTGTTTGATGCTGTTTATAGGTATGAACATGCTAATGATGATAAAAGCAGTTTGAAATTAGATCCAGAAGGGGAGAAAATCCATGCTGGACTCCTGAAAAAGTTAAACGAACTGGAATCTGACCTTACATTTAAAATGGGTAATTACTCCTTTAAGCTGACTGTGAGCTTGAAAGGCCGTGTCCCAACTGACTGCAGGGAGGTGGGGTCTCTTAGGTAGCTGCGTTCTCCCCGGGGCCCCAGAGCTCCCTCCCCCATGCGGCCCCTCTTGCCCCGTCTCCTCGCCCCGCCCGGGGAGGCTCCTGCGTGCCTGGGCTGCCGTACAGGGAGCGGGCCCGGGGCCGGCTCGTGGACTTGGGAGCCAGGTTGGTCCATTGTTTCTTCCCGCAGGCCCTGAGTACAGAAGTGTGAAGAGCTGCATTTACATTGGCATGGCCAGTGATGACATAGATGTTTCCGAACTAGTGGAGACCATCGCAGTCACGGCCCGAGAGATTGAGGAAAACTCGAGGGTCTGTAAGACTTGTCAGGGCCTCAGCCCTTTCCTGGGTTTCCCCTAGGCAGCTGGCTGGGCTCCACGCTACCCTGAGCAGTGCCTGTTCGCTCGTTCTTTCCAGAGAGGTTTTTCAAGGCTTCCTGGGAGGTTGGCATTGTGCTGGGCAGGAGGGCCAGGTGGATTTGTCGCTGCCCTCAGTGAACCCACAAGCCAGCAGGGGCAAGAGACACGTATAAGCAGGTGAGGGTAGTCAGGGCTGTGGACGGAAGTTAGGGGAGGCTGAGCGGTTAGGAAGATGCACGCACCTCTGCCCTGCAAGGCCAGGGAAGAGCTCCCGATTGGAGCTGGTCCTCAGGCTGAAGGAGGTAGATGCTTCTCATGACGGAACTTTCCACTGGTAGCAGGCCTGCTTCTCTTGGCTGGGTGGGATGGAGGACCAGGCTGTGAGGCTTAAGGGATGCTCTCCACACCAGGTATTTGAGTCGCTAGAAATCACTCAGAAGAGGGACTGAAGCAAAGAAGAGACATGACATGCCCCCAGACCATGAGATTCACTTTTGGCCATAGAGTGGGAAAGAGAAGGGAATTCAAAATGAGCCTACGACCCAGCTTGATTCGTTCTTGAGTGGGCTTCCTGGCGTTTCTTCCAGACCTGCCTGTGTCACTCCTGACTCCGTTTGCCCCAGTGTTGAGCATGTGTCTGCTTTCTGTTGATAAGACATTCAGATTATGGGGGCAGTTACTTGTGCTCCCTGGCAAAGGAAGCCGGTCACTGAGGTTCATCTGCCGAGGCCTCCTTCAGCATTTGGTCCTCTTCTATTTGATTGTCTGTTTTTGAACTACATTTAAAAGTGCAGAATTCCATGTGCCAACAGACTTTTGAAAAATGTCCCCAGTGTCGTGTTAACAGTTCCAGGCCCCCAGCAAGAAGCTTAGACAAGTGATGCCTTTCTTGGTCTTAACACAGCTTCTGGAAAACATGACAGAAGTGGTTCGGAAAGGAATTCAGGAAGCTCAGGCTCAGCTGCAGAAGGCAAACGAGGAGCGACTTCGGGAAGAGGTGAGGCTCTGGGCTGGGCTCCCCAGCTGGCGCCAGGCTGGCGTCTCGGCAAGTGGTCCTGAGCAGTGGTTGTGTTTTGCAGGGGGCGTTACGGCAGATCCCTGTAGTGGGATCCGTGCTGAACTGGTTTTCTCCAGTGCAAGCTTCACAAAAGGGAAGAACGTTTAACTTAACAGCAGGTAGGACTGACTTCCTCCTGGGTCTCTTTCGCCGTGAGAGCTTGGACCAGAGGCCCTGGGATCCCACGCTGGTTGTCCCGGGCTCTATCACTGGGCCCTGTGCCAGGAATCTGTGTGCGGAGACGAGACTTATCTGCCCCGAGACTCTGTCGTCCTCCCTCTCCTGCCCCGACAGCGGCGACAGCCCGAAAGCAGACACACAGCGCCCACAGCAGACTCCCCCGTGCCCCACCCGGAGCCCAGGGCGCGCACCCAGCTGTTCTGATCCTCAGGGCAGTGTGTCTTGGACATTTTGGTTCAGTGTTACTGTTGTAGTCCTCATGCGTATTTTGCCCCCAGCCGAGGGCTGCTTTTGCAAGAGGAAAGTAAAAGACTAGCACTGGGACATTTTATTTCAAACCAGGCAACCAGCAAGTATTGCCAGCTGGTGGGATTTGAGGAAGATGATATGGAACCACAGGCTTCTCCTTTCCTGTGGCCCCTTCCCCAGGAAATGATGACAGGGTCCTGTGACAGCAGGAGATAGTCCGGCTTTCAGCTTGCCACGCCTCAGCCTTTAGCAAAGAGGCGCCGGTCCCTTGTTGCTAAAGGACATTTCCCCCTTGGGCCTGGCTCTGCAGGCCCGCCTGGCCACACTGCTGGCTGGCTGTTTTCACAGGATACCTGGGGAGACGAGGATGAAACACCCGGCAGGGCCGGGACCCGGGAGCACAGCTGCGAGGTGGCTCCCTCCAGTTCCCGGCACGGGTCAGGGGACCCGGAGTCTCCGGCAGGAAGCTCGTGAGGGAACAGGGCAGCCTGTGGCAGGAGCTTCCACACCCGCCCCCTCTCTTCCCGGCAGGCTCCCTGGAGTCCACGGAACACACATACGTCTACAAAGCACAAGGCACGGGAGTGACGCCGCCTCAGACCCCCTCAGGCACCCGCACTAAGCAGAGGCTTCCAGGTACGTGACCTCTCCATGTCTGAGTTCATTAACACTGGAAACGACTGGTTGTATTTCTCTTGGGAAAACAGACCTCTGCGTCATGTAACAGCCTTCCCCCGTTTGGTACTACTGCCTGCATTCGTTTTCTTGGTTCTTGAACCCTAAGTCCTATTTCCCTTCATGTAAGAGCAGCAATCACTGTCCCTGTAACTGTTCCAGAGCCTTGGAGACGCGCCTCCATAGCCCTCCAAGGGCAAAGTTAGGGCCTGGAGAGCCGGCGTCTGTTTAACCCGGTTTTCCCCACCCTGGGCTCTTCCTGACCGGGGTTACCTCGCAAGTCTCTCGTGCTGAGGTCGCGTTAGCATCATCACTTAAATGCTTCCGAGCCCATAATCCCAGGGCTTTCTGCTGAAGCAGCTGTAATTGAATAGAGCGGTGCTGACAGCACACAGCGTCTGTTGCAGAAGTGTCCTATCTGAGCGTTCAGTGCTGTGCGTTGATCTTTCTCTAGGCCAGAAGCCTTTTAAAAGATCCCTAAGAGGCTCAGATGCTGTGAGTGAGACCAGCTCAGTCAGTCACATCGAAGACTTAGAGAAGGCGGAGCACCTGCCCGGTGGGCCTGACGCCCCGGAGGCTGACAGCCCTGAGCAGCTCGCCCCTGCGGGAGCGGAGCAGCCCGCCGCCCCCCAGAGCAGGGCCCAGCGCCCGGACGATGACAAGCCACAGGTAGAAGAGCCTGAGAGCCTGAGATAAAATTCAGTGTTTGCTTGGAGACTGTACTGAATATTGTTTCAGGGAAGATGAATTTATTCTGAAAATGTGAACTGTGCCACATGCTAATACAAGAGAAATTACCGTTATTTGTGCTTAACTGGGATTTTTGCACAAATATGTGCCTGAAAGCCAGGCTTGTGGGAGGGCAGTTGTCTAATTTTAAGGGTATGTAGATCAGTAACTTGTTTCTGTCTACCCAATGGTGGTAGTAAGACCATTTTTCCCCCGTTTACCATAAACACTTTTTATTCACAAAGAACACTTAGAATTTCAAGTGCCTGCCACTTGAAACACTTGTCCTTGTCTTTCTAAATGTAAGTGTAAGAAGTTACTAGGTTGCACATAATAACTTTTTGGTAAGACAGCTTTCTCTAGAACTCTCCGGGTCCTCCGTTGTCCTGCTGCAGAGGAGAGAGACAGCATTCTTTGCCATCTGTTTTCCTTGGTGTTTAGTTTAATCAGGTTGCAATATACAGCTGGATTGTATTCAGCCTGAAGGAGAATGGGTTTCGGTGGGATTGTAAATAAGAGTGTCAGAAGCCCTCTCCTGCCGTCCCCAACTGCCACATCCCCTGGAGACGTAAGGACTGTGTCCGCTCGAGTTGTGACGGGGCCGTCAACACTGTCTGTGACTCACCTCTGCCACAAGTCCATCTCTCCCTTTATATACTGTTTGTAAACAAGGTAAAGGACTTGTCTATCAAGGGTAACTGTAAAGACTCTTCTGACCATATTATATATATATATGTATATTTTTAAATACTGGTAAAGCTTTTAAATTGGCACAAGCACAGACTGTACTCATTTCTGTGTTTAATATCTGAAAACCCCGTAGATGCTACTCTTAAGAGCCTCATATGAAATATGCTGTGTGGCACCTAGTTAAGTCAAAATCCTGAAATAAGTGCCCCCTTGACCTGTTCATGTGGGAGCAGCTCACCCATTTGGGCCCAACTCAGAAATGAAAACCACGGATGTAATCTTTCTCAGGCTGACCGAACCAGACTACTGCTGAAATAATCGGAAGTAAACCCTTAATTATTGCCCATTTCTACTTTTCCGAAAGCACTGCATCACTTCGTTTATCATAGGTGATGGCCCTGTGCCTTCTGGTCCAGCAGAATCAAGCTACGGGAGACCTTAAGATGCTAGGACTTCACACTGGGGTTGTGGACTGTAGTGTTGGGAGCCTTAGTTACGTACCACATTAGGCCTATAATTACATTCTGATTTGATGTGATTTCTGACATTTGGCACTTGTCAAAATGCAATTTTTGTCTTTTTTTTTTCCTTGGTGCAGATGATTAAACAGAGTCTTCCTTGTTTATTTGGTGCAATGAAGTATAGATAACATGGGGGAAGGGGAAATTATCACCTTTAACAAGATTAATTTTTAAATGTTTTTATATATTTGGAATTGTTAAAATTGATTTTGCTGAAATACCATTTCACCCTTGAGATACTATTTGAATGTTGGTTTCAATAAAGGTTCTTGAAATTGTTACCAGTGAGTTCAGTTCATAAATCTTACATTACCTGACCTCTGATTGAGCACGGTGACTCCTTTTGGGTCGCAACTTCAGAAAAATAAAAGTTTCTAAAAATGCATCAGTTTTGGATTTGATGCTTCTAAAATTTGAGGGGCCAAAAAAAAAAATCTCTGGGGGATGTATAAATTCTCACTGAATTTTATTGCACTTTAAATATTCTTTTTTAAAAAACTCAGTTACAATTTTTCCTTTATTCAGTAATTTAGAAGAATTAGAAAGACTTACCCAAGTACCTGAAATAGCTGATTATAGAATAGTGAAAAAGCCGGCTGCTCCTCTGCCTCTCATTACTGACCAAAAATAAACCTAAACAAATGCCTTTGCCAAAATAAGATTTTTATTTTAAAGTCATTTGAAAGACACTGAGTAAAGAAGGAGACCTAAGACTCAATGGATGCAGATTACAAATTCATATTCTCTCCTACCCCCACCAGTGGTCTTCTGTCATGCCAGAAGGTTGCTTTCTTTGGTAATTCCTATTTTTAGCTTCCTGGAGAAGAGATCTTTTCCCATAAGCCATCTTCATTTTTTTTGTAGAGTAGAGCTTTATTTCCAGGAAACAGCGTGTTAGTTGGAGAAGGGTGTTTTTTTAAAAACATCAAGGTAGATCTAATATGTTCAACAAAGTGGGGGGGCTCAGCGAGAGGTGATGTGGAAAGGTTCTGGAAAGACAAGAGTCGAGGCATGAGAGAGGAACCCTGCTCTGGTCCCTACTCTGATAAAGATGTCAAATGGCCTTTGTGTTTGTTAAACATGAATCAGCATGTTCTCAGATCCCTATATAAACGTATTTAAGTTGGAGAATCACATAAGAAGGTCTACTGGGTTAATGAGGAAAGAGCTGTGGGTTGCCTGCTGCTTCCATAAGTAGACATCCATCCAGGATGTCAGTTATCCCCAGGTGACACAGCAGCTAAACGGGGTCTGCCAGTGGCACCCTACCAGTAAACACTGCCACTGAAGGAAAACTATTATCTAGCCTAAACCCTTTTTTCCTTACAGATGAAGAAACCAGGGTTAAGATTTACCCAGCCTGTAAATTCTCACCTCTAGTATTTGCTTATCATCTTGCTGCAACCAGAAATCCACATGGGGAAATGGCATCCAGGAATACGGTCCTATACGAAGTTGTTCTGTCTTTGCATCGTAAATACTAATCATCTAAAAAAGAACATTTTGAGGATGGAATTTAAGGAATGTTAATGCTTACACCCTACCTTTTAGTGCAAACTCCAGTGCAGTCTTGAAGTTAAGACATTTTTCTTGATGATAAGCTTCTTTCTAATTTTGTCTCATAACAAAAGCTGCTACTTCCAGCATGTCTATACTGCACTTTGTGGGTAATATAATCACTTTGTTTAGTCCTAACAAGAGTCCTGCAGGAGGATGGCATTTTTCCCATTTTGGTTGGAAACCCAAAGCTCAGAGAGGGCACACTGCCCACGTTTCCAGGAAGCATCAGAGCAGGGCCACAAACCCAGGTGTGTCTGACTGAAGTCCATGTTCCTCGCTGCTACATCAAACACGGCCTCATTATGCACACCCCAAGTAACCTTGGAACTGAAAAGTACACATGCCTGATGCCCCATCAAAGGAAAGGAAAAACCAATTTGTAAAACTGTTAATTTGCCAAAGGATCAATTCCCTGAATTCTTAAATTTGCCAGTGGTTAAGTTTTCAGCTTAACCAGCAATGTTCAATTTCGGTTACTGAGACTGAAATATGTTCTGAATCTTAGCTAAATCAAGGCTATTATGCTCCTTGAGAGATTGCAGAAGGAATCCTAAAAATGTTAAAGGGTTGGCAAAATGGACCACTCTGAGTCTGAACATTTTTGAACGAAAATGTCAGCATTTCACAAGTGAGCACATTTTTTTGGGTGCTCTGAATGCGGTTTCTATTTTCACACTGAGCATTTTTAAAGGACTCTTTCACCCACTCCTTAAACAGTGCGTAAATCTTAGGTTTTTACTTTTCTAACTTAAAATGAAGGTGTTACTTATTAAAAAGCACCCTAAGGACGTCGGACTTTTAAACTGAGCCTGACTATTCTTTGGAGTTAATCAGTTCATCCCAGCACACTGCTCTTCAGGGACCTGGCCCAGAGGAGTGCATGGTCCCAGGTGCGGACGGGAGAAACCTCTTCCCCCTTCCTAGCGCTCCTTTCTTTGTGGGACCGTCAACGCCAATGTTCTTATAGCGTCAGAGGGGTTCGTTCTGCCTGACTCTGGACGCTGGGGGTTCACAGTACCTCCCCAAACCTTCTAAGGCAGAGAACTGGGGTCCTGAGTATATAACCTAAAACATCCATCATTTTTCTACACGTGTTGTAAGTAGGTGGTGGTTCCTGTTAAGGTACAGCTTCAAAGAAGCTGACAAACTTTTCATTTCTAAGGTCTGTAAAACTTGAGGCTTTGCAGTTTGACACTCCCTATTTTTCACTTAACCCTGTAACACAAAGATAACATGAAACTCACTGGTCCGCCTGTTAAAGCTCGTGCTGCGCGCAGCTCCTCTTCCGGACCTCGGTCTTGGAAGGAGGCTCTGTAGATCTCTGCAGTTTTAACGTTGACAGCTGTGAGGGACGACAGAATAGCTTCGAACTGACGACTGCCACAAACGGAAAGTTGGCCCAGTCTTACACTCCTCCCACCACGCGTGCAGAACATGGACGAGTCTCCCCAAAGAGAGAAAAGTGGAAACTGAACAAAGTTACTCTGATGTGTCTATAGAATCTCCCTGGAAAGGGAAAGAGCCAAGCAGCTCACTGGAAGCAGATGAGGCCTGAGCTGGACCAGGTAAGACCTGGATCCACACCAAGGGCCGCCCCACACGGGAAGTGCGCCATCTCTTCAGACAGCGTGTGGCAAAGCTTCCCTGACGGGCCCGTGACGGAACATGGCTGCAAACGTGGCCTGGGATCGTGGCCAAGTCTAGTGTTTGTGTTTCAGTTTTTACTATTTCAGACACAAAATACAGAGAATAAAGCAATGAACACTGGTACACCTTCCCCCCGGGTAAATAAATCAAATGTTACAGATCTGGTGGAAGCCCTCTGTAAAGACAGAGGCTGGCCTCACCCTGTTACAGCCTCGGGAGTCCTAGGGGCTGTCACAGAAGGGAGGAAGGAAGGTTCTGGGTTTCCTTTAGCCTGATGGCTTCACACTTTCCTTTGTAGGATCTTTGTTCTCAGTCAAAACCTTACCTGGTTCCTGATGTAGGAGAAGATTCAAACACCGCGCTCCAGCCCCCAGAGCACTGGCTGGGGGACAGCTGCACGGACCGCTCGGGGCAGCAGAGACCACTGACACTCAGCTGTCCCCTAACCAGGGGTGACGCCTAAGCTTTCTACTTGCCACCTTGTTTCCCCTTCACAGTCTCCAGAAGTGGGCATTTTCTCTGTTTCATAGATAAAGGTTAGGGAAAGTAAGCTACTTGCCAAGGTCGCCCAGCAAATACACAGAGGAGCCAGGATTTGGGCCTAAGACTGTGACATTCTGACAGCAGTGGGCACCACAGAGCCTGCCCGTCACTGTGTGACTGGCCTCCAGCCCTCCAATCAACAGGCTATACTTACCAATGCCATAAATTACCGGAAAGTGGTTTTCATTTTCTTCCCGGTCATTTAATTCTAAGAAATAAAAAAAATTTTAGGATCTAATTTTTAAGAAATACTAAACAACTGCTTTCATCGTCTAGAAATAGAGGCCAAGAAGGCGCCCCACTGCAATGGGGGGTAAATCCAGAATGGGAAAGGGACAGTGCTCCTGCCTCCCCGCAGCGTCCCCGAGCAGCCAGGTTATGGTGAACACACGGCCTCTCCAGAGTCCGAGCCTCTCCGCCGTCTACACGCAAGGGAGCGCCTCCTCTCGGGTCTGGCCCCTTCCCCTCCCAGGAGTACAGAGGCGCCCTCGAGAATCCCAAGGAAGGGGGACAGAGGAGTTGCACTCAAGGTGGGTCAGGATCTCAACTGACGTGGAGCAGGATTTGGACATTGGGAAGGGCGGGGAAGGCCGCCCAGCGATGGGAAAAGCCAGGAGGAGGCAGTAAAGCAGCAACAAACTACTGCCTACAACTAAGGCCTGGCTGCTGGGTCCTGCTTTAAGGGCTGCTTTAAGGGCGAGGGCAAAACGTCCCTGAAACACACAGATGTGCTTTGGGAAAGACGGCCGAACTTACCTGTCACACATAATGTCACTAAGTGAATGTCATCTTCTTGTCTGTCAAATTCACCTATGATGGAATTTAAAAACTGGTGTCAAAAAAGTTCCTTTAATTAGAACATATGCTGAACAAGTCAAGAAGGGGACGGAGGTGGGATCCACTACCTTGTCAAGCACCCCTGGCCCACGTATCAGAGGCCAGACTCCTGGGAACTGACCCACGGAACCCTGCCCACCACGTGACACACGCTCTCCTAGCCTTAAGCCCAAAAGGAAACTTCGACCAAGGCTTTCCATTTTTCTCTGCATTCTGAGACGTTGGGAGGGAAAAACATGACTCCTGGGATTTTCACTCATTTCCTGAAGAACTTCTTTTCCTGATTATCAGTCATAGAAAATTTGATCATTATGAAAAATTTGGAAAACACAGGAGAGTACAGGAACATGGGGGGTTTTAATGGTGTAAGTATATGGGCTTTTAATGCCCACAATCCTAGAGGCTAACATTCAGTGCACTTCCCGCCATATTTTTCTGTGCACAGCTGAACTCAGATACCATGCAGACAATTTTATATCCTGATTTTCTGTACATATGTATTCTCCCATGTAATTCAAAGTGCTTCATAAATATTATTTTTTAACAGCTACATAATTATTCTTCCACTAATGGACATTAGATTATTTCCTCTTCTAAATAGTGACCAACTGCTCATCTTTGGGCATACCTCCACGCACATTACAGATTATTTTCTTAGACTAGATTCCCAGAAGGGGAATTACTAGGTCAAAGA